GGCTCTCGGTGCGGCGGCGCGGCCGTTGGCCGCGGGGCGGCGTGGCGGTGCTGGTGGCCGGCGGCGCCCGCCGGCCCAGATCTGGGCCCTTCAGGCCCCATCTGGGCTAGGGCGGGCCGACGACTCGGTGCGTGGCGCCGCTGCTCCCTGGTTGGTGGTGAAGTGGCGGTGGTCTGCGGGCGGTGGCGGTGGCGTCGGCCGATGAGCTACAGCGTGACGGCAGGGGCTGTCTGGACCCTGTTGGGTTCGGCCGGGCCTCGGTGCCTGGCAGGCCCCTTGTTCGCGCGTCCGGTCGGCTCCGCAGTGGCGGTGGTGGTTGTCCCCTCACGTCGGTGATGTTGCGGATGCCCCCAAGGACACTCTCCCTTCTCCCATCCTCCAGGTCTCGTGTCGGTGACCTCAGGGAGACGGCGGAGTTGATCCGATGATTGTGGTGGCACATGTTGGTGGGCGGCGCGATGGGCGGTGCACTATGATTCGTCTGGGGTAGTGGTGGGGGTTTGGGTTGGGACTTGGGAGAAATCTCTGGCGGCTTGTCCGGCCCCGACGCGGCGACGCCTGTGGGTGCCGTCGGATCTTCCTGAAGGGCGTCGGGTACACCCCTCCCCTCACTGCCCTCCTGCGTACAGGGGGAAACCCTAGGACTAGTCCGGGCAGCAGCGGCGTCATCGTCGCCTCCTTCTTGAAGGTGTTGCTTGGTACGCGCGCTTCGGGTGCTGGGAACGTGGTGGTACTTCTCCGGAGGGTGCAGCGGTCGCCGGGCATCTTCGTTTCGTCGATCTGCCGTTGTTGGCATTTGTTTCTCTTCCTTTCTTCTTTGTTTTTCTTTGGGCTTATTTGTGCTGCGGCCCCAGCACCTATCGTTGGATGTATCGGTGGTTGCTTTGTAATACAAAGCGGGGGGAAACCCTTTTTCGTCAAATGTAGGTGACAGTAATTGATATTAGGGAAACACTTCGTTTCAACCGACCAATCGAGCGGGCAACGTGAAAGTGGGTGGACATACAATGGAACCTTTATGAAATCTTATCCCATCGCTCGTCTCTATCTTATGGCATACTTCCTCCCCTTCTCTTTTCTCTCCCCGCTCTGGCATACAACACATGATTGCTCCCGTCATCGTGCTCTCATTCGACAGGGGGATGCTCATATCGCCACGCTCCCTGTCTAAGAACTTTGCTGTAGAGGTAGGCTGCGCTGCAGCAAAGGTCGCCATCGACACGGGTGCGAGGCGTGATGGTGGTGCTCTGCAAGGTCATCTACATTGTGGGCGCCGTTGCTAGCCATGCATGACCGTGTCCCTGTTGACAACGACATGGTTCATGTTGCCGAGGGTGACCGTAACATGGTCCATGTTGCAATAAGTGATCAGGCCATGCAAGCTATGAAGGTGAGCGCAACATGGTCCATGCTGCAATGAATGACCGTAACATGGTCTATGTGTGTAATATTTGCTACGGGCGATCGAACCGACTGGCTAACGGACCGTAACAACTCGTGTTGCAAAGCCTCAAGCGCAACATGATCCTTGTTGCAAACGGCCACGGCTGATGCGGGCGAAGACCAGACGACTGTCGCACGTGTCATCCAACGGCCACCGAGACGGCCGATCCGATCCAGGCATCACCTGGCCGACGCATCGCACCCGCCTTAACGTTAACACTATGATCACCGTAACATGCCAAACAGTAACACGGCCTCGTCGATGTACTTCAACCACGAGGTAGGTAGGTGGTCGGTGAAAGTTGCCTAGAGAGCCCAAGAACCATAAAAGAAGAAGAATCTATTCTTCTTCTACTCTAGTAAAAGTCTGAACGAAGCCTTTGCGAGGGAGGAAGCTTCAGGCCGGGCATGAGCTTTCGGGCAAGGGCAGGAAAGCATATGTTCTTTCCTTGCATTTTCTTCCATCCGTCCACGGCCCCATCCACGCTCGCATCCGGCATCCCCTCGACGTGGACGCCGGGATTGGCATGATGCGTCAATCATGGGCGTGAAAAGCGAGATCGATCCACTTAGCAGAGACATGGAAAGGGAGCAGAAGGGAGCGAAAGAATGGGGAGGACATGGAAATCTCTCTCTCTCTTTTTTTTTTTTTGAAACTAGACATGGAAATCTCTCGCGCACACGCTTCCTGCAGGCGGGCGCACGGCGGGCGATCTTCTGTGGTGCGGTGGTGCGCGCCCGCGCCGCGCACCGCGTCGGGTCGGGCTTTCCTCACATGATTGGTCGCCCGTGGGAATCTCGTACCGGCGTACGTGACGGACGCATGCTGCGTGGTTGGGGCTTTCGGTGCGCCACCACTGTGCGTGCACCGCATGCTTAATCGCGGGCAGGGAATCAAAACCGAGCAAGACACAGGCCAGGGGCATATGGCACCCTTGATCATACCTTTCTCGGCCCATGATTTCTTCAACATTGTTTTTTCGATTTTGCTATTTCCCAGATGCCTACATTTTCAATTTTTGCCAGCCACTTCTTCCTTCTTCCCAACCTCACTGGAGAAGAACAACTCACCTGCATATCTTAGGGGGAAGCCGCATCCCCATCGGGGACGGAGCCAGAAAAAATGTATGAGGGGGACCTATTGCTGCTGCTTCACGGTTGGGGAGGGCCAGAACCACTAAAATACAGTTATTTGCTCTCAAAACGTCATATTAGTAGCTCTAACGACGTAATTTTATCAAAGTTGGCCGGGGCCATGGCATGGCCCCAACTTGCCCCCCATTGCCTCTGTCACTGATGCACCTTATCCATCATCTTAGGGTGCGGTATCCAGGGGAACATCGAAGACTTTCACCGATGTGGGGCTTAGAGGGATGGTCGCGACGTTGGCCAGCAATATCGGTGGGGTGAGGTTGAGGGGACGGCAGGGCGGCGAGGCTGCGCGCGGTAGCGCCTGCCGACCGTGGGGGGTGGAGGCTGGCAGATGTGGCAGGGTAGGCCGGCGGCAGAATGATAGACCAGGTCGTGAATGGAAGGAAGAAGACGATCTGTGAGCCGGATCGAACGGAC